ACATATCATGGTGTGATTTTGTTTGAGAGGTGCATTGCACATTGGAATCCCTCATTTTTCAAGATGCCTTCAAAAACATCACTCCTATCAAACAATTAAATATATAAATGCCAATGAAAGCCAACCAACACACACAACCCCATGTCTCTCTCTCTCTCTTGAATAGAGGAAAAAGACACGTGGAATAAACTAGTATCTCCCAACCTATTTCCTATGGTCCCATTCCCATATAATCACACATCCATTTCAAATTTCAAGTAGGCCCTAAACGTTCCTCTCCATATCATTCAATTCGGGTTAACCATACTTTTCATTTATAAAGTTTCTCTCGATTTCACTTTCATGTTTTTTTTTCAATTTTATCCTTCAACTGTTTGCATAAAATCAATCAATTTTGATTAAGAATGGTTGTTAATTTTTTTCATCAAAAAAGTCATGTGTATCACGTAACGCATTCATACAATTTTTTCGACTAATTTTTTTACCCTTTCAACAGTAGTTGTTGATTGCACTGACGATAAAGTTGGACGATAAAATTATATGAAAAAAAATTGATAGATTGAAATGAGAATTGGAATAAAAGTTGAGGGTAAAAAAGTAATTAAACATTCAATTTATATATATATTTTATGGAACAAGGAGGATTATGGTCGAAGTCCTGGTGACGTACACACCACGCCCTCGGCCAGCAATATGCCGACGGTGAGGACGGTGACAGTGGACCCAATGCCGTTTTTCCTTTTTCCTGGAAAACAAAGAGAGTGAAAAGCTTTTAAGTACATAGGCCCATCCTTGTGCTTCTTTATCTCTTTTTTTGAAGGTGTGCATAGATGTAGCAATGGACATGTGTGTCACATAAGGTGCCCAGTGCCCACTTTTGTGATATAAATAAATCCATATTCCACCTGTCACTTGAGTTCAGGTGGGGCTGCTTCAAGGAATGGACAGTACAAAGCATAGAATATGTATTGCAATTAGAAAGGCATGGGGGTGGGGTTGGGGGTGATTGATGCCTACTCCCAACTTTTTCCTTCCCATGTGAAAGAGGGCACTTGTACCACTCCATCATCTTAGAATTGATTTTGTTTCTTTCTTTGTTCTCTCATTAGCACATTCTACTTTTCAGCAAGACCCCACTCACAACCATCACTTTGTATAATTTGGAATACCTAAGCCAATTAAATTGGGGTCAGGATGGCCCACAATATCACTTTTTTTAATTGGGTCTCAATTGAGTTTGTCCTATTATATTTGAGTTGAGTAATACTCTAGTCATCTCATTTTTAGATCAATGTTGTGTTGGAGTAAACTCTGAACTAGAAACCACAAGACAAGTTCTCATTTCTCTCTTAACCATATCTACCAAACACAGGCCTCCCAAAAATAAAAAAAAACTCCTAACAAAAAAAAAAAAAAAACCATTTAATTCTAACATAATTCACAGCTTTGGATCAAGAAATGAAACAAATATAGTTAAACTAGTTATTCATATCTAATACTAGCACGAACTATTTATTATTTGTACTAACTCATCATGTCACTTTTGAGTTCATGTCATGTTGGTATGTGTCGGGTGTTAATGAATAAAATTGACAACATTAATATCTCTGTCGGTGTGGGTCACAGTTTGGATGAGCCATAATCCATTCTTGTCAACAATTGGTGTCTGCAATTACAATGGAAATATAATTTGAAAAGTTTAGGTGTAGAACAGTAAAGGGAATTCAGTACTGTGGAAATAACACAAGCCTTATTTGAGTGGAAGCTTGCCTGAAATATCTTTCTACAAAGGGAGGGTGATTTTCTATGTCTTTTAGAAAGGAGTGGTGGGTGGGTCAAGATAGTGGGAATTTCACCCTGCCATGAATCTACTTTTACATGGACGGATTTGGTGATATAGGTGGAGTGAGGCTAAAGATAAAGGCCCTGTTTATTGCCTTTTTGAATGCAGCACCCCCACTACAGATGAACAAGCATTGAAAAGTGAGACCACAGAATCACAAAGGAAAAAGAAGAAACTGTTTCAATTATTCTATCCTATAAGTTGTGACAGATTGGTGCTCAAGTGTAAACATCAGCCTCCCCCACATACACATAATCCATGTGCTAAGACACTATCAAGACTTACTCATCCCATTAATGACGACTTTGGATTGTGGTTGCCAACCCAACTCCCCCATCCTGGGGTAGAATGATTGTGTTTTTCTTTTTTTTTTTTTGGGCTCTCTCTCACACACACACCAACCAACAAACATGAATGAATTTAGTGGTTAGCTTTTCCAGTGGTCCTAATGTAGACAAGAAGGAACAATTGCAACACTTTTAGTCTAAGTGCCCACTAATGAAAGAGAGAGAGAGAGAGAGAGAGAGAGAGAGAGATCTAGTGGACAGACATGATATCTAACAGAGAATGGATTTTCTATGTGGATGGATGAGAAACCTAGAAATTAGATTGGACTCATTATGAGTTGTATTAAAAAAGGATTCCAATGTGATAATCACCATGAAACTTACTGGATGAGTGTACATTGTTCAAAGTCATCTATCCTATTCTTCTTTCTTAGGAAAGATGCATGTTAGTGAAACACACAGGGACAGGGTTGAGAGTGACTTAACAAAGAATCAGTCACCACTATAAACCAAGTAAATTGGCGGACAAATTTGGTATGATAACCAATATGGGAATGCATAATGTTGTGTTGTCAACTACTCAATGCATAAATGCAGGAATTTTCGGCCCCACCATTGATGGACCATAGTACCTCCTGTTCAAAATCAATCCCAACTTGCATGATGACAACTATGAAATGATCCTCTTATAGTTTTCATCAATGATATTTATATAATTCATGATTCTGGGGTCTACCTAAGTCGGTCTAATTTAGTTGGAATTGAACAACAACAACCATGTTTAACATTTCTACAAATATCCACTTGGCCGACAATTTCCAAACATTGTAGATGCACCGTTAGATCGATAAATGGTCCAGATATAAGAGAAGTTATTAATCAATACCTGAATATCATAATAATTATACTATAATTTGAAAATTTAATCACTCACAAATTGGATGGATCATCTTGACATAGAAATGCTTATCCTCTCCCCGAGTCATCATCTGTGTTGATGTTCGATTTGGAAACCTGATGCCTCGTTTGCTATGGCTGATGCTAATTCTATGAGACCTGGGCAGCTTTTAGGGGATGCTTCTTTATAGGTGCCATGCAAAATCCTGTGGAATAGAGCAGAATACAAGCATAATCACACCTTAACAAGGGACACATCCGATCAATTAATAACCCAATGATCAAAAGAGGAATCAAATCTTGCCTTAATGCCACGTTAGTTAGAACAACTTTAATCCATCACAAATTTAGTGGTTCATGTTAACTTAGAAATATATACATTACGATGCTATTAGCTTTTAAAATTCAATTTGAGAAGACTTGATGTCTTATCAAACAAGCTGATGCTAATTTTCCATCATGTAATTGGATTTTCGAGAATGTTTAGCTGCATCTGAATGCATTTCTTTAGAAAAGAGCAGAACAAAATTACAAGAATCAAGTCTATTCGAAACTGCAACTGTGAATCTAGTATAATCACAATTCGATACCGGTTATATAGAAGTAACACAAATTGGTAAAGGTAAAGGATTTTCTTCATGCTTCTGGAACTATGCTCGGTATCCAGCACAAATGTGACATGTTAATAGCAGGTACCATTTAATCCGTGAAATGTACAGATGACAATTCTCATATGAGTTCTACCCATGCGTTTCAGATATTTCAGAGGGTTGAAACACATTCTTAAAAGTTTCCTGCCACCCAACTAATATAATTGACCTAAGAGCTAAACACTCAAAACTATAAGTCACTAAAGGACATTAAAGAGAGAACATTGGAAAAGCCAAAGCGAAGCAGTACAGCCATAAACATTTACATCCTACAGAAAAGTATAGTGACAGATTACAATGACCACTCTTGCTGTTGCAATGGTCCACAATTCCATTATCACTTAAATTGATTATGCTATAACAACACAAAGCTTCCACGTTATCTCAACCTTGATACTGTCAGAACAGACAGGCCTTATGAAACAACTAGACACATGATTTAAGACCGTAGGGCCAGATAATGAAATCAATGATGAACTGGGTATCTGTTTTCACTTCTTCAAGAACCATTGCATGTGGTTAATGTAGTCGAATTGTTGGCCATGACAGGGTATAGTGATTGCAGTGACTAGGTCCATCCCCACCATCTCATCATTTTTAACATATATAAGGTATAGGCCTTCATGTCTATATTCAAGTAAGTAGATGCATTTACCAGAAACAATGAATGAGCATTCATTCTAGTAGCACGGCAATACTGGAGATATCTGTTCTATCTTTCATACATAGCACTCGATTCAATCATTTTTCCACAGTAGTAAAATTCCAACAACAACAAAAAATTCACAGGCAGTTTTGAGTACTAAATTTATATAAAAATAATTGAATATGAACTATATGTACGTACTATCGGGATGTGAAATACAAATATGTATTTTAGTTCATAAGTATGTTTATATATATATATATAATGCTTGTATATATGTATTCAAAGAAAAATAATTTACCAGTTAATGAAGCACCATCTATCTTACCCACCAACAATTGTCTACATTAACAAGGATGCTGACACAAGTGCCATTATCAAATGCTGCAACTTGAAACACAAAGAACAGCAATGTGTACATCAATCCCCAAAACAAGTTCAGCATGCAGACACCACGCAAGTGGGCGTATCCAACACCAAAAAGAATAAAAGTTATTTATTCCCATTGCATAGTCCACTTCAATATATTAGATTCAGTGTATCAAACTTTTATGAAAATTACATGAACTTCAAGATGAATAGACTTAGGAAAAGCATCATTAGGTGGTCAACAGCTTGGCATTACTGGTGCCATATACGATCCTCTCTCAAAGCATGGTTGACGTTATCAACTGACATTATGCAACATACTGTGATGAAGGTATTCCAATGCACGAATTGATCTCTCTTCTACCAGTAAGTGCTACAAACTTATCCCTAAAGATCGAAAGAGGACATTTATCAATCAGATTTGACCCATCATAAGCTTCTTTAAGGATTACAGTACTCTTTGCACCTTTATTAGTGATGTAAAAGATACCATGATGCTTAATTAAGCAAAGCAATAATCTAGCTGGAAACCGGTACTCCCCATGAAATGCATCCAGTTGAGCAGATGTCAGCCTCTTCTCCATAGTCAAACTGAGGAGCTCATGAAGTACTGCCACCACTCTTTTTCGAGCTTTAGGGTCAGAAACTTCAAATCTCCTCGCATTCAAGTATGGAGAAGGGAATTCCATTTTCTGCCACCTCTGAACTTCTTCAAGATAATTCACATTTGGTCTAAAACCAGCAGGAAAAGTCAAGTGAAATGCAAAAGGACCCCGAAAATTACCGTCTTTTGTTATTCTAGACTTTTTTGATTGCCCACTAGAGTCTAGGATCTTTTCACGCGACAATCTTTCTTCCCGGGCAGTGATTGCAAGTGAAGAATCCCAATTTTCCAAGTGAAGATAAGCTCTCCCATTGACATCTTTTACTGAAAAAAATTGCGGGTATTTTGGAATCAATGACCTCTTGAAGTCACCAGGCAAACCCAATTCAGATTCAATGAATTCAATTGTTTCTAATAGAACTCGACAATCAACTGACATCATTAACAACTTCCTTAGATTCTTAACTAAAATGGGTTCCATTTGCTCTCTAGCATCAGCTTCTTCAGCCGCAATTTTTTCTGCTTTTTCTGTAAGCATAACTACAGGTGGTGTTCTGTTACCACCGCCGACATGGAAGATTGAAGGATACTTCTCAATGACGGCCATGTAATTCCATTTCTGAACAAACCCAACTTCTTTCTCAAGGTCTCTGAGAAGAAGAGATTGGTTTTTCTGGGATTGGATAACGGACTTCAGCTGTAAAATCAAGGATGGTTTCTTTTGGAGGTCCATCATTCTGTCTAGTTCATGGACTCTCTGGTATATTTTCTTCTTGGGTCTTCTTCCTCCACTGGTTTTGTGCATAATTTGGCCCCGCGTGTATCCTGATTTCCGAAATGGGGTTGGACCAAACACTTCAAAGGCGTCTCCGTCAAGGGATTGATGTAATCGAAAGAACACCGAATTCCTATACATTTTGGAGGAATAGAGTCTCTTTGGGACCATACGTCGAACACTTGGAATGCACAATTCTTCAACAGTCGTATCAAGTTTCAACATAGGCTACGTTGAAGAAAACTAATGGAAGAGGGATTTCCTATCCAGAAGCTCACGGGGATTTTCTTTTGCGGATGTTCAACAGTCGTATCAAGTATCAACATAGGCTACGTTGAAGAAAACTAATGGAAGAGGGATTTCCTATCCAGAAGCTCATGGGGATCCATATTCCGCCCTAGTCAGCCCAAAATGGTTTCTTTTTCATCAAAGCCCACAAGACTTCTGAGCTGCTCAACTTGGTTACATTCTGGTGCAATACTTTGTCATAAACAACTGAACTACATTTTAGGGTAAGCAAAGAAGGCACCAATGGCCCAGTGCCAGGCTTGATGTACTCCACCTTTTTTTAAAGATGTTCCCTATTTTAGAAAATATGCTCAGAATACTGTTGGACATTTTCTCATCCTTCCTTCCAACATAACCCAACAAAAACACGAGTTCTATATTTTTTTTTCCCTGGGAAAATATAATTGATAACTCAATAATTTTGCGTGACAATCTCCATGCTGCAGAGAATTTGGTATATATGAGTACGGTGAAGAACAATTAGACCACGCCTAGCTGAGCATCTGTACTAGCTTGCTCCTCCTCAATACAATTTATACTAGTCTGTATCACAAACACAGATGCGCCAACTATTGAGAACACAATTCATCAAATTAAAAGCTAGTTAAAATGATGTGAAAGAAAATCTGCCTGATGAGTACACCTATACAACTATCGATTCCATAAAATACAGATAGCTGGTTAAACCTTTTTCAAGTAATTGCTGTCTACCCAGTATGTATGGAGCTCTTATCCACTTATGGAGAACAAAAAAAAAAAAGGTAGCTCGCAGGTTCATTCCTCTCATAGTAGAGGTCAGGAGATCCAATTCCTCTAACCCGTGCAATGATGCTGTCTTGCCACTCTTCATTTTTCAAGTGATCACCCATGCCACTTTGAATTTTCTGCACCTTTTCTTCATGGGTTTTTACTGCATCAGTATCATCAAAACTGCCCTCTCGTTAGTCAATGGCAGTTTGTGCAGCAAGACTGACATTTGGAATCAGGGTCTCGCAATATCACGTCTTTCTATTGAGCCTGACAAGCCTAGTGCTGCTGAAAATTTACTTCCTAAGGCTTTGGTTCAGCTAGACTGGGATGTTCCAAATACAGCTGCACGCCAAGAGGTTCACTGCTCATTGACTTGATAGGTGTTATTACTGGGGGTTGCTGCCACTGCTTTGTGTCTGTTGGGATCCACAATTCCGCATCTTTGCTTGCTGTGGTATGAGGTAGTGATCGGAAGTAAGCTGTTATCTCCCACCTGCAATCTGTTAAAGAATAAAGCTAGAAGACAAATTCCAATCGCCAGACAAGACCAGAAGAAAAAAAGCTGAACATGGTCAAGAATTTCAAGAACATCTGCAAGTACGCTGATCAAAATTTGCAAATCAAGTTAAATTGGCTGTACTCTCCTCAAATCAAGCAACCACGGAATTGTTTCAGGATATATGGCATGTTAAGCAATTAAATTGGAAGATGGAAAAAAAAAAAAAACAAAATCTAGCTCCTAGATGTTCGAGGATGCTATGCTGAAGGTGCAATGATTCCTCAGTTGCCAGAAGTTTTGTTTCTAATCAGAACCTTTAAGTTCTTACAGCTTTCATGGATATGGACAGAGAGTTTCTGTGCAGCTGCACTTGTTATTTAGGAGTTCAAGAGATACCGGTTGTTGGCTCCTACTGTTTGCTGTTCTAATTCTACAACATTTATTGAAGGGAAGGCTTCCCCTTTTTGTTTTCCATCACAGCAAGTATTTGTAAAAACTCTGTTAACAACCAAATTAACTGAGAGAGAGAGAGAGAGAGAGAGAGAGAGAGAGTTTATAATACACCATGTAGCAAATAGCTACTTACCATGGGGCAGAACCTTAGTTAGAGGTTCAGATAATGGAAGCTTAATCAGGAAGGACCTAAGAGAGAACTCCAGGTCAGCCTCTTCAACTCTTGAGCCATAGGACAGGTTCACAGTAAGCTTAAAAATAAATCTCTCCACTGGGATGTTCTCGTTGTTGAAAAAAATAATCGCGACTCTCTCCACCAATCCCTGGTAAGCAAAACAAGTTGTTTACTTCAGATATCAAATTGTTTACACTAGTACATCGAGTGGTTAGCCTGTCGTCATTGTTGCATCATTGAAGGGAGACAGTCATACTTTTCATCTCAGTACAAATCCTTCACTCATTACAGCTAAAAACCAATGTCATCATCTTCTAGTTTATTTTGTATAGACACTGAAAAGTACAATTACAACCCACAGCAATCAGTTCTGAGCCCATATGATCAGTGATAACAGAAGAGGAATCACAGAATGCAACCATAAATATCAATTTGGGTGCATACTATCACACCCCTAACTTTTCTTGTCTCACAAACTTCAAATCTTTGAGGGCAACCTTTACTAGTTTAAGCTCCTGGATAACTTGAAAAAGAGGGTAGCCTCTGACCTCATTTTTCCAGATCAGACATAAAGTATCAAATTCAGTTCAGTATAGGAGGCCCCAAAAGTGGAAGAATTTGAATGGCCTTTTTCCCTGTCTAAATTCAATTCCTGTTCTAACCATAATGGGGCTATGATCTGAAACTCCCGGGGTTACAAAATATCAGTTGCCTCCTCCTCGACATATCAGAAAGATCAATCAAAATTTTGTCTACAGTGCAATATCATAAAAGAACAAGCAGAAAATTCCAGTAGCTGCATTATTATGTCTAAATGTTTGGGGCTTCAAACACCTGTATCAAAATGCAAAAATTGCATACGTGCCTCGAAATCACTAAAGAACACAACCAAGTCCAATCACTTGCCACACCCTAGAATATTGACTTTCCTTGATTACTGCCTTCACAAAATTTCATTATACTTTCAACAACAAAACCCAACAAGAATCAATTCCCAAGCCCTCTTTCTGCAGCTGCCACCATAAATGGGGCAGAAGTCTTAAGAATCATACATTAAACACCGCAAGCCATATCATACTAATAGTACAGTTATTAATAGGAGATGGTCTCTACCTCTCACCCCTTTGCCTCCCTCAAGTCCATCAACCATTATCAAAAGTTCTAGACAAACTAGAAGAGGGACAGGTTTCTAGTATGACAGTTCTGGGCACTTCTAGCCACCCAACCCATGGCATTAGAAGCAAAAAACTAAACCAATCAACAAATCATTTAATTTCTCCAAGACTACAATTCGCAAATAAATATCTGGCTACATGCCAACTGCAAGGTCAAGGGTGTTCCTTTTTGGAGAGTAAGGGTTTCAAACGTTGACCACAATTAACAATCATTTTTCTGCAGATAATCTTATGAGATACTATTAAAATCAGATGTGTTAGCAAATTAGGTCAAGATAAAGATTATCAAGTGCATCATTCCATTGCAAGGTGAAGGTTGGACTTGTCATTTATTTCCAATTTATTGGGCAGGGGTGTGGGAATAGTTTTCTTCTTGGTATTGGACTAGTCAGAAATGCAGAATTATAAAAAACTTAAATATGCATACTGGCCTAACTATAGAACCCCATGAAAAAAGGAATCAATATGAACATAGGTTTCGATAGCACCATTGCAAATGAATTATGTTCTCTATATTGTTCCAATTTTATCAGATGTCCCCAAAGGGATAAATGAATTATGTTCTCGACATAACACTTATTCACGGCTTTAACAAAACAGGGGTCCTTGAATCAAGTGCACGCCTTAATGCCTCTGTATATTTCAAAACACGATGATTCTTTCTTGTTTTCCACGGCATTAATATGTCCCATAAATAACCATCCATATGTTGGTAGCCACTCCACCACCAAAGAGTGTAAACCCAAAAACCACCTCAACCCTCCTGTACACATACACGCACACAGAGAGAACTGCAGATAAGATTTATAGCATCAGTCTACATGTGCTTTGGACCATAGACAGCTGGAACTCACCGCAATTATCTACAAGGCTTACCCTTTTCAAGCATTACAATTGGAAATTTGTGGTATATATTTCCACGAGGCAGTCAAGCACTTGCATGTGTAAGAATTACAATTGGTACTCAAAAACAACACATTAATCATCATTAAATAACCATGGTAATCTGATGAATAGAGGAAACAAGGGAAGTCACAAACCTTTTGGACAAATGGGAGTAGTCCAGAGACAGCAAAGTGAATGTACTCTCTAAGCTGAGGATGTCGAGCCTTATGGACCACAACATTCATATATCGCCTTCTTTCAAATGCACCTGCTTCCCATCACCATTTTCAAATATGAGAAACACATCACATGAAATCGTCCACCACTTGGTCACAGATAAAACCGACAAAAAATTAACAAATAATAGAATTCTGAAGAGTCTGAATCTTTCTATACTTCATATGGCTTTGGGCTTGAAAGGAAGTGAGCAAAATGAAACAAATAAACACTCCTGGAAGCCAAAATAATAATTCACTACAATTGTATGAAACAAGACTTGATTTTTTCGGTTCTTTTTTCTGTATTTTCTTAGCAACCAAACCGGGTAGAGCAATGGGTATAAAAAAAAAGGGGGGGGGGGGGGGTTGGACTTTGGATAAGAGAGTGGAGAGATTCAGACCCGGAGGATAAACTCCTTTGAGGAAGACAATGGAAGTGATGGCAACCTCCAGGAATTCCACCAGAATCCGAGCCATCTCACCTGCAAAGAGAGAGTTGAAGTCTGAAGATTACCCACTTGAAATTTGATAAGGAGTCACAAAAGTAAGAACTGAACCTTGAGGGGATTGATTATCCTTGTGATCCATGTTCATTTCTCACTCGGCTTTGTAACCCTCTCTGCCTAAGAACTTCGAATTTGCTCTTCGTCTGGTCGTACCGAACAAACAAGCCTCCTCTTCTCTGCCAAGCTATTTTCCAGTTGGCCCAGGCGAATATAGAATCGGGTCAATTGAAACCAATTACCAGCCATTCCAATAAAGTTTGGATCCACTTTTGATTAATTTAAATTCGACTTCGAAAGATCAATTTAAATCTAATTCGATAACTCAATGATTTTTTTTTTGTTGTTGTTCATCGACAGAGCTAATTCCAAACAACAAACAATATCTCGTTTACGAGAGCTAATTTATATTTAGGTCCCTACAATTAGGGGTGGCAATCTTGTGTCGGACATTAATTAACTTGTACCTAACTCATTTTATCAATCGTGTCGTGTCGAGTTGACCTGTTTATTTTCGTTTCGTATTCGTGTTCACCCACATAAACTTTGAATAAAAAATTTAACGTTAAATTTTTATTTTCACTTAATTGAATCTCTCCTCATACTTTTTCTACAAATTAAAAATTACTAACTTAATAATAATAATACTAATAATAATGAGTAATAATATTTTTTTATACAATATAAACAGTTACAAATAATTAATGTTTTATTTCTATAATACTAATTAAATATGTTAATCGTACGTTGCACAACCAAATTAAACATCAAAACTAATGGAAAAAAAACAAGTCATAAAAACATGAAAACTCATACATGAAACGAAAAGGTCAGGTCAATCTTCTTCGAGTTAAAAATTTTGTGTTGATAAGTCAATTCGTGTTAAACGGGTTGAACTCAAACACAACTCATTAACACTTCGTGTTAACGGATTGTGTCATACACGGGTTGACACAAAAATTTAATCAACTTAAACCCATTTATTCGTATCGTGTCTTGTCAAAAATTGTCACCCCTACCTACAATTTGTTACTCCTTCAACTATAGACAACAATACAAGATGACTCTAACGTTTGTGTTGGTCTAAAATCTGTAGAGATCTTGTTTCAGTATTTTTCTTGAATAAAATTAATTGACAAATTTAAAAGCAATAAAAGTATCATAGGAATTAACACAAGAGAACACTTTTTTTTAATATGAATTGTAATATCAATTACACGAGACCGATGAACACGTATAAACTAGTTAGTGTACATATACTTTTTGCACGTGAATTGTTTTAATTATCTAATGTTGTTGAATATTGATGTAAAGATTATCGCTGAACTTTGTATTACTATATCTTCATAAAACTGGTGACTCTCTTACATATCTATCTAAAGTTTGTATGGTTTTTTTTGTGCTCAGGAAGGGTGACTAAGTTTCAAGGCATTGTAATATTATTTTGTAGCTTCAGATTGTTCCTTAAGTTGAAGAAAAAAACGTGATCGATTACACACATTTGATAAATTAAGCACAACCAATCATGTCAATATCAGGAACAAAAAATGCCACAAAAACTAATATCTACGTATTTTGACAAAATACTATAATCTTGACAAAACCATGACTTTTCATATAACAAACAAATTATTTCGTACCTCCACACATGAAAATATTTTTTATTGTATCTTCCATGGCACCCATAGATCCACAAGTTCATCAAATCTCCCATGAAACTCTGACCTGAACCAATAAAAAAAAAGGATCAAATCCCTTGAAGAAGTTCACATGTTCCCTCACACAACAACTGCACAGAATAAATGAGCAGGAGAAAGATAATGAAAACAATTGTAAAAGTGAAGGAAATAATGTTAAATGAGAGGACAAAAAGCACAAAAGTAAACGAATTAAGTTGAATATCTTGCAATCACTGGAGATTTAACAAATATTAGGTATGTGGAAAATCAGACAATAAGAAAGGATATATTTACTGGACTTTGAATCTTTAATCCACTTGCAAGGATTTAAAATGGCAAGAGTTACCATTTGTTAAGGCACGTACTTAATGGTTTTAAAGGACATGAACAGACCATGCTCTGTGATTGTATTGTCATTATATGTATATTTTTCGAGGGCATAAGAGTATTTTAAAAGTTTTTTTATATAATAATTAGTTATTGTCTGTACCTGAAGGCACAATGAAATAAAAAATAGTAAACAGTAAACATATTTGTATTCATATCCAAAATCAAATAACAAATATAAGTGAAAGATAAATGAATATAAGTATCGGTTGTAGTGGGGGGTGAGAGGTGGTGGACGGCAGTGGTGGTGGTGAAAAACGGTGATGATTGTGATGGGTGACAATAACCATGGTGACAGTGGTGGTGGAGGAGGCGGTGGCGATGGTGGACGGCGGTGGTGGACGGGAGTGGTGGCGTTGATGGTGGTGAGGTGACGGCGACGACAGTGACAATGATGGTGGCGACAATGGTAGAGATGGTGGTGGTAGAGGTAAGGAGAAAAATGAGAAAAGAAGATGGAAAAAATCTTCTGTGGGTGGTAGAATGCTATAAAGATAGAAAACAATAACACGACTCTTAATACTGATATGAAGAGTCTCTAATGTCATCATAGATATCAATTTTATTTCAATAAAAAGAGAATGGTTATTCAAAATCACAAAGTCAATTATCTAAAATTAATTTTAAGAGTTATAAATGGAATAAGGGATAGAGAGGGAGACTGTTTGCTAGAAGTTCGAAAGGATCAACATAGTTTTGACTCTCTTTTTTTTAATGCGAAAAAATGACTGCTCTTAATATTAGTTAATGATTAAAAACTCTTAATATATAAGAAGACTCATTTCAAAACCTTAAAGAATGATCAGATATAACTTGATTGGGACAGAATTTTAAGTATGGGCTGCTATGGCCATGGAGCCCAATAAGCCCAGAGCATTCTGCTTCGTCCGTTGGCCCAAGGGAAGCATACCTAGCCAGCCCGTATCAAGAAGCAAAGTCCAAAAGGACTGGCGGTTCAGCTCTAGCCGAAAGATAGCCAGAGAAGGAGAAGTCAAAACCTAATCTTAGACGCATTCCACCACGCCACGCGTCCCAAAAGGACAAGGGGACCATCTCTGAAACCTATGACAGTCACACGTACCTGCGGGGAGTGATGGTGCGTAATGACCTAGGCACAATGGGTACAGTAATGCCGGCTGGCAGGGTTTTACTTACAGGACAAGGACGGAAGGTCCCCACAGAATTAGCAAGCAGATAAGAGGAGCCGATGGGAACCCCTCTGGGGTGTTCGAGCACCGAAGAATGCATGAGTTAGAGTATAACTTCCTGTAATGGCCTAGCGCCTGTAAGGCTACTTACCTCAAATAAAGGAATCAATATACAAGCTCAAGGAATAAGAGACATCATTACAGTGGATGTAACCTCAATCCGCCAGCTAGGGTGAACCACTTAACACTTGTGCCTCTCCCTACTGATTAGGCTATCTCTTAGGTCTCACCACCTAAATAAAACTCATCAACTCCTTGTCCACAACCAGGCTTGGACCATAATTTCTGAGACATCATCAGTTGGCGTCGTCTGTGGGAACGGTTTTCATCGTTTTCTTTCTAATATTTTGTTTATTTGATGGTTTCTACTCGGAATATGAGTAAAGCTCCAGCCAATTCCCAAGTCCATCAGAACCCACCGGAGAACTTTTCGGTCCCAGAAGGAGACGTCAAGATCGCCCTCCAGAGGCAAACCTCCCTCTTCCCAATGAACTAGAGGCTTATCGCCGAACAACAGTTCAACTAATGATGTAGAACCAGGAACTGATGGAGTGGATACAGACACATCGACTTCCTCAGATCCCGCCAACACGTCAAGAACCTCCTCCACCCCAGGTCGATTAGGATGCCCCTCCTCAGGAGCGCCAAGCCCTACCTAACGGAGTCACCGAGCACCACAAGTGGAGTCACTCCGGAGAAGATCATCAAAGGAGGTACCCTGGTGAACGCGGTGAAGATGAGGCCCATAGCAGGGCCAGACCCACCTACTAAGAAGAGAGACCCTATCACCCGCCAGATGCCATAGACCATCATTTGCAGCAAAAACTCCGTGAGCTCCAACAAGAACTGGGTAATATGAAAGAATTGGTTAAAGGAAGGACTCCTGATACCATGGATACCCTGGGTCCACCAGACTGAACCGTCATTCACTCTTAAGGTCCTCCACTTCCCCCTTCCTCAGAAGTTTCGAACATCGTTGATAGAGGCATTCGACGGAACCAAAGACCCAGTCGACCACCTGAACTCTTACAAAAACCAGATGGAGCTTCAAGGTTATCATGATTCGATACGCTACCGGGCATTCGCCATCACCCTTAAAGGGTCGGCAATAGCCTGGTTCAACCATCTGCAACCTGTATCAATTTCCTCTTTTAGGAAATTATCCATTCAGTTCATATCACATTTCATCAGAGCAAGGACATACAGAAAGCCTTCCTACCATCTTCTGAGCGTCAAGTAGGGGCCTAACGAGTCCCTCCAAAGCTATGTACAACGTTTCAACTAGGAGTGCCCAAAGGTGGAAAGTGTGGATGACAAGTTCGCACTGACCACTTTCATGTTTGGGCTCGGGCTACAATCCAAGGACCTTCTCTTTTCAATAGCAAAGAATCCTTAAGCCACAATGGCTGAGGAACTGGCGAAAGCCGAGAAGTGCATCAACCGAAAGGAAGCCCTCCATTTAAAAGGAGGCCTAGCGCCGACTAAAGAAAGCAAGAAGAAAAGAGACTGTAGTCCCAGGCAAGAGGGGAAACATGATCGATCCCTGAAACAAGATCGCTCGCTTAGGAGAAGAAGAGAGCCCTCTCCGAAGAGGAGAAGCAACATCCGAGACTGCCTTGGTCCACCCCCACAGGACCTACAACTGCGGTTTGCCCCAGCACAGCTGTCACCCCTTGTAACTTCCATCGCTCAGGTTTTTCATGAAGTCCAGAACGAAAGGTTCATTTAATGGCCACCTCGGATGAAATCCTACCCCAGTAGGTGAGACCTCGCCAAGTACTGTGAGTTCCATAAGGACACAGGCCATAAAACCAATGACTGCATCTAACTCAAGAAGGAGATATAGTGCTTAATACAGAGGGGCCACCTGCACCAGTATGTGGCAAGAGAAGGAAGAGCCCAGAACAATCAAGGATGAGAAGCCCAGGCCGCC